AAGCACGTTGCTGATAAGAACAGCGATGTTTTGGAATCATGAAATTTGCGATAAACCACTAGTCAAAAGTTGAAATCTATAAAAAATTTTGATATCTCAAAAACTTTGTTGAATTTCAAACTTGTTCTTATCAGCAACATGCTCAACGTTGTTGGGTTAAACGAACATTAAAAGTCTGGAAGGTTTTCGTTAACTTCAAAGAAAGAAGAATGGCTTTGAAGAAAGACAGTCGGCCATCGGGGATCATCAGAGGATCATACAAATGGCTGGAAACTGCGGCTTGCCTCTGTTTAATATGTTTATAGTGAAAGTTAGTGAGAATAGCTACGAATAGGTTATACGGCGTGAAGTTGTCATGCGACGTTATGCCAGTGCCAGGTTTGTACGGTGGAATGTTTTATTGGCCTTACGTTTCGAGAAAATCGTCTTCGTCGGAGGCCTGAAAGTAGATTGCAGTGTTATCTGTGGGACCAAACCGCCAAAGGCCTCCCCGCACTGCCGAGTCTAGACCATGCTCCGCACTCAACTTACAGGGGCATGTCGATGAGAAGACGAAGCTTTATCCACCGTGGTGTTAGTGAGATTCTGTAGAGTCAGTACTTAGTCGCACCGAAGAGACAGACGACAGTGAGTGCTGTCCTATGATCGACACTTATATATGTGCAGACTATCGCTCACAGATCGTTAAGATAGGCAAGAGTTCCGCTGTTATTGATACGAATTCATGTTTGTTGTTCATGCTAGAATTTCTAAGGGAAATCCACGCTGCCTCAACGTTTTCCTCACTGTACTCTCTGCCTCGTATGACAAAATAGTGCACTTGACGTCAAATTCACCGCCGTTGTGCGTTTCTATTCTGTGTCTTCCCAACGGTGACATTACACTTGCTCGTCTTTTTGCCGCTAGATGCTCTTTAAGTCTAACATTCAGCAATCTACCCGTTTCGATATATGTCGCCTTGCATTTCAAGCACTCCAATTCATGCACTACTCCTGCCTTCGCGCAATCACCTACTTTTCCGTATGGGCAGACAATATATTGCTCTCATAGACATTCTGCGTCATAGAGCCTGTTCCTTACCAACTGCTTCTTGATGTTCTCATCCGGAATGTTTACAAGCATAACATCATTTTGCAATTGTGCTCGCCTTGAACATTGTTTGATTGCTGCACTGAATTTATCGGAAATGACAGGCATACACAAGGGCGCCTGTTATCCTGAGCGTGGCTACTGTTCGCAAAATTGGAAGCGCAGCTTAAACGTTGTGGCAAGTAACCATTGCTAGGCGCAATTTGTGTAGCCATCAAGAAGCAGTTGGTAAGGAACAGGCTTTATGACGCAGAATGTCTATCAGAGCAATATATTGTCTGCCCATACGGAAAAGTAGGTGGTTGCGCGAAGGCAGGAGTAGTGCATGAATTGGAGTGCTTGAACTGCAAGGCGACATATATCGAAACGGGTAGATTGCTGAATGTTAGACTTAAGGAGCATCTAGCTGCAAAAAGACGAGCAAGTGTAATGTCACCGTTGGGAAGACACAGAATAGAAACGCACAACGGCGGTGAATTTGACGTCAAGTGCACTATTTTGCCATACGAGGCAGAGAGTACAGTGAGGAAAACGTTGAGGCAGCGTGGATTTCCCTTAGAAATTCTAGCATGAACAACAAAAATGAATGCGTATCAATAACAGCCGAACTCTTGCTTATCTTAACGATCTTTGAGTCTGCACATATACAGAGTGTCCCAAAAAGATGTGCACACTGTTTGATCGTTAATAACTCTCTTGCTCTCATGTCCTTTGCCGAGCTTGAGGTACCATTCTGCACAGCGAGGATAAACTTAGATTTACTGTATGGAGCGAATCACCAATCGCTCTTGGTTACTGTAGGATCACGGTATGAACTTTCAGCATACAGCGTTACTTGTGGAATAAGCCTTTTGATGAAATAGTTTCAAAAAATCTAAAAATTTGTGTAGCAAGTTTTCAGGCGTGCTGATTTCACTACATAACTTTCCACCAGTTTTTGGAGCTTTCTTGATGGCGTATTCACATTTTTGACAAACATTGGAAAATCGTTGTCACCCTAAATTTGAAATAACTCATGAAAGAAACAGTGTACTGACATGCTATTTTCGTATTTAGAATTAGCGACTTTGATTAACCCAGTTCAAGAGTTTTTGGCTTGTTTGGCTTTTCTTCTGAGGAAAAATACCGCTTTCAATGGCTTAAAATCGTCCTCGAAATTCCTACCGTAATCCTACAGTAATGGAGAGCTGGTGATAAGTCGCTCCACACTGTAAATCTAAGTTGAACCTCGTTCTAAAGAATGGTACCTCCAGCTCGGCAAAAGACATGAAAGCAAGAGAGTTATTAATAATCAAACATGTGCACATCTTTTTGGGACACCCTGTATAAGTGTCGATCATAGGACAGTACTCAGTGTCGTCTGTCTCTTCGGTGCGACTAAGTACTGACTCTACTGACTCTCACTAACACCACGGTGGATAAAGGCCGTCTTCTCATCGACATGCCCCTGTAAGTTGAGTGCGGAGCGTGGTCTAGACTCGGCAGTGCGGGGAGGCCTTTGGCGGTCCGGTCCCACAGATAACACTGCAATCTACTTTCAGGCCTTCGACGAAGACGATTTTGTCGAAACTTAAGGCCAATAAAACATTCCACCGTACAAACCTGGCACTAGCATAATATCGCATGACAACTACTAACACCGTTCCAAATGCCCAGGTTCAGAGAAGAAAAAACATTTAATATACGGCGTGGAATTCAGATATCCGGAGTTTCAGAATAAGAGCTTTTTTTTGAGCTGCGATTCACTCTCTGGCGAGCATGTTAATGCATGCAGTCCTAAGCCTCCCTCATGGTATCAAAAGGTGTATTATTCCTTTGTCTACTCCCCCCTTCCCTCCTTCAGGTTTCTGCTTTGGGATTGCTTTTCGCTTGAGCGGAAGGCAATCCAGCGATCTTCTTTGACCATGCTCACCCCTGTTACTTTCGTCTTCCGCTTTAGGAGCTTCCTACTGTGATAACGGCATTATATTCGGAAATGACGTGAGCCAAATAATTTCATTCATCAACAATAGACGCAGGATATTGGCTGATGGATTGCAAATGTACATAGATGACGATGATGCCATGATGTTTACGCCAATTGCCGTCAAAAAACTCCCTCCAGCCAAATATTTGTCTAAAATGGTTAGTCCTCCTATCTTTGAAATAACATAGGTAAACACATCTTGATTCAAGAAGGCAGCCATCGTAACAAGTTACAATATTTCAGAAATGATAATGCAGTTTCCTTTTCTCAAAAATTGTTCAGCTTTTGAGGCATGATTAGATTACGTTGCTATTTAAAACTCTAAAATTGTTTTACTAATTTCCTTGGCTATAGCGCGAATCTCTGCTAGATTTCATTGAAGAACTGGTCAGTGGTTGAGAGGCACAGCACGTAAAAGCCTAACCTATGCTTCTTCGAAGCTCTAAGGCAGTTCAACTTTCATAGCACTATGTTTTACAAAACAACAATGTAGACGAAGTGCAAGTGAGGGAAACTGCCTTCCGAGAAGGAGCTGATTGTATCAATTGAGGCTTATGACTGCGAACTCGAACGGATTGCTAATACGGCTGTGACAGTGAAATGGAGTGGAGAAGAGTGCGACCAATACTCTGAACAAACTAGAGGATACTTCCTCAGCTTGTAAGATTTCGATGTCAAATTTAAAGAGTCATTTGATCAGTCAAGTCATTCTCATTGTTTTTTTTTTCTATTTAAAAAATGCATCAGTCCCTCAAATTGAGTCCATTGTCTTCCCACTGCAAGAACGACAACTCATCTGTATCTATTCAGTGCCTTCGGTGATATGACCTTGTTGGACTCTTTTGAGAAAGAATTTTCAATCATGCGAAAATTCAACATCACAGATCAATGGGTAACATATACTAACGACACGTTTGGGTACACAAGAAATTATGCTGATGTACGTTTTCATTAAAAAAAATCTTTGTGAACAAGTTACTATCTTATTTTCAGCTGATGCGTGCTAATGCGTCTAGAATAGGTTGTGCAAGCAAGGGATGTCACGGTGTTGGAGCCTGGTACACTGCGTATTTTTGCGTCATCAACCAGGAGTTAGTTCTTTAATGGTGCTTTACGCAGTATGAATCAGCTTTAGATATGTATGTTCCTATTCTGTTACAATCCAGTAAATTACATGAGGTTACTCAATATCAATGACATTCTTTGGTGAGAGAACCGAAATTGTATGTGGGAGAGTTGATATGAATTAATCTATCATAAACTAGCTGGCTTACCCGGCTCTGCCCGGCTTTGTCAAAAACGATAAAACTCCCTTTCCTATTCCTGTACAACCTTTCCCTGTGCACTCTTCTACATGCAATTCCCTATTTCCGCCGTGTTAATAATCAGCATGCTCACCTACCTCCCTCAACAACCCCCAGCCCCGTAGCTCAAACTTTGAAAAAAATCGATAAAATCGATAAAAGTAAGGGTATTTCTAAAAACTGATGGCGCTATTCGGCTATCCGGACCCCAAAATCTTTTTGTGACGGATCTTGCTCAAACTCAATATATGGGGGTTATTTGAGCCGCTGATGACAAATATCGTAGTCATTCCGCGTGGCGGGTACATGAATCTGCTTAAAACCTTGGCAGGGAATTACCTAAAACGCTGTTTCAAGAATATCGTGTTTAATCCCCACGATAAAGGCAATTCGTGTGGTATAAAAGTCTCCCACGACCGTAATGCTTTCCTTATAGGACCACTGCCGCGCGCGATACACCCTTCGTGGGCTGCCTAAGCAAAAACAAGGGAAGGAGATTTGCCACGTGCGTTACGCGTTAGGACAGGTTATCAGAATGGCGCTAGAGACCGCCATGCAAAACGACCGTTTCCCCATTTCGTGAATATCTGAGATCTAAGTTGGCCCGAAAGCAAAAAAAATGTCCATTCAAACCCTGAAACTCACCATAATTTCACAGTAATGCGTTATGACAGAGAGCAAGCGTCATACTCATGAGCAGTACGCTTGTGAACCGTTAAAGGTAAGGTTCTGAGCAAATCTGGAACTTAAACCCACCTACCTGTACGTAACAGTGGCGTACCGAGGGGGGGGGGGCGCGCGCCCCTCCCCCCCCCGAGAACGGGTCGCGAAATTTTTGAAAGTTACTTATATGGGTTATAAAATTGTGCAAATGACTTGTCTGTACTTGTAAATAATTAAAATAATTTTTAAAATTTTTTAAAAATTCATTTTAGCTTTATATTGGGGACCCGCAAAAATTTTGAGAAGCACCCCAAAAATTTTTTCGGAGTGCGTGGCTAACGCCACGCACCTTCATTAGAAAAAATTTTTTGTTGCGCCCCCCCTCCGAGCCGAAATCCTGGGTACGCTACTGGTACGTAACCCAAGAAAATGCGCTAATTTGCGAAATCAGCATGATATTCATGTTCAGACGCTAAGTGACCACCCTAGACGAAATTTAAAGCAAATCTATGTTTTCGATCCCATACCGTATAACCATCATAACTCTATGGAAAGGTCCCAATATGCAGAGAGAGTATGAAATTCGTAATCAGCATGACGAATAAGTTTTCTGGACCGAACTCCGACCGAATTCATGATTTTGACTTCCTACCGTACACCCAACGTAACCACACGGGAGACGTTCTGCAAAGTGTGATATCTGTAATCAGCTTGTAAAATAACCCTTATATATGAAGTCTGAGCAAGCTCTACGACAAAAAGATTTTGGGGCCCGGATAGCCAAATAGCGCCAAACTAATATTGTACTCGTAATCAGCACGCTCGATTACCCTCCTGTGTCAACTTCCAACCCTGCTCAAACTTTGCAAAAAAATTTGATAAAATCGATAAAAGTAATGGATAATTCTAAAAACTAATATTGTATTCGTAATGAACTCCGCAAAAAAAAATCGACAAACATCGATAAAATCGATGTCGATCGATTTTGTCAATTTTTTAGCAAAGTTGCAGACATAGACGTGCAGACATACATCATACAGACATACATACAGACAAACAGACATTCAGATTTATATATAAGATACAGAAATTACCAATGATATAAATAATAATAATAATACAATTGTATTATCCTATATATAAAGTTGAATGTCTATTTGTCTGTCTGTCTGTCTGTATGTCTGTATGTGTGTACGTATGTTCCGAATAGAAAATTACAGTTCTAAACCGTTCCGGACCAAACTTGGCACACATACACTTCGGGGCCGGGGGGGGGGAATGTCATAGGCCACTTTTTATCATCGATCGATACGTTTTTATCGATTTTTATCGGTTTTTTTGAAGAGTTTACCTACGGGGCTGGGAGTTTACGCAGGGGGGGGGGTGATCGAACATGCTGATTACGAATAATTTTTCGAAATCGTTCGTTAGTTTTATCGATTTTCTCGATTTTTTGCAAAATTTGAGCTACAGGGCTGGGAGTTGGCACAGAGGGTAATCGAGCATGCTGATTACGAATGCAGTAACTGTTTGTGAGAATATCCAATACTTTTTTTTAAAACCTTGGATTAGAAAGGTGAAAGTTGGCATGCTGATTCAAACGAGGTATAATCAACATTTCTCATCCTAAATCCTGCTCCAAAATATTTCTCCTGTCATCTGGGACTGGATTTCGGTAGGGGATAAGCGAGTGCGGTAATTACAAAACAACTTTCTTAAAATAATTATAGTGCTAATGCCACGCTCAAACATGAAAGAATACACTGATTATTTCTATAAAACCACAACAATATCAATTTTTTGGCGAGTTCTAAATTATTCTGAAAAATGTTTTATTTATGAAACACTCTTTTAGATCTCAGGTTCTAATAGAGCTAGAGTAGATTGTTGAAATTTCGCACGTACACATTCTATATGTGGGTTAACATGCCATGAATATTTTCAGAAAAAAAACCGTTCCTCCAGGTTTTTAAATTTATTGGGAAGAAATCATGATGGCGTCTTGGAATAAGAAAGGGAAAAATCATTTGAGTGACACCGCTGATTGACCATTAAAAGTTAACATATACGTATTTTTGACGCAAAATCCCAGGATGTCTCTGGAGCGAGATACAGGCATTTTTGATTTTTTTCTGAAAATTTCGGTTTCACCAAATATTGATATATCCGTACGCTTCCGTAAAGTGATACGTCTTTGGTTAAAATCAAGCAAAAAAACAACATGAAACTCTTTCATTTTCATGAGTCGAACTGCATTAAATTCACCTCTGTCTCAAAGACAGCGGCTTGGCAGAATGGATCACTGGAAACGCGCTTTAGAAGGGCATAATGACACCCACTTAACGGAAGTGGGCGGTGCTGGTGGGCATTTGGAGAGCCTTCTCAGGACGAAATGTGCTGTATAAGAGGACTCCACTAGCGCTAACATGAGGCTAGGCTCTGGCGCAACACATGTCAATGGGAAAGGGACACTGCGAATGAGATAAACTGTAGTGGTTGCAGGACTTTGGATATAAAGTTGTCTACTTTTGTAGCCATTATACATGATGCGAATGTCTGTTTATCTGTATGTCTGTATGTTTGTCTGGCTGTGTGTGTACGCATGTTCCAAATAGAAATTTTCACTTCCAAACCGATCCGGACCAAACTTGGCACACACACTTGGGAGCGTAGCGGGGGTCGTAGGCTACTTTTTCATCGATCGATATCACTTTTGTCGGTTTTTATCGATTTTTTCGCAAAGTTCACCTACGGTGCTGGGAGTTGGCACAGGGGGTAATCGAGCATGCTGATTACGAATACAATATTGGTTTCTGAAATCGTTTGTTAGTTTTATCGAATTATAGATTTTTTGCAAAGTTTGACCTGCGGGGCAGAGAATTTGCATAGGGGGTAATCGAGCATGCTGATTACGAGTGCAATATTAGTTTGGCGCTATTCGACTAACCGGGCCCCAAAATCTTTTTGTCGTAGAGCTTGCTCAGATTTCATGTATAAAGGTTATTTTACATGCTGATTACAGATATCACACTTTGCAGAACGTCTCCCCGTGTGGTTACGTTGGGTGTACGGTAGGAAGTCAAAATCATGAATTTGGCTGGAATTCGTCCATATGGCTTATTCGACATGCTGATTACGAATTTCATACTCTCTCTGCATATTGGGACCTTTATATAGAGTTATGGTGGTTATACGGTATAGGATCGAAAACATAGATTTGCTCTTAAATTTCGTCTAGGGTAGTCACTTAGCGTCTGAACATGAATATCATGCTGAGTTCGCAAAATAGCGCATTTCCTTGGGTTACGGTGGGTACAAGTAGATGGGTCGAAGTTCCAGACTTGCTTAGAACCTTACCTGTAACGGTTCACAAGCATACTGCTTATGAATATGACGATTGCTCTCTGTCATAACGCATTACTGTGAGTTTATGGTGAGTTTCAGGATTTGAATGGACATTTTTTTGCTTTCGGGCCAACTTAGATCTCAGATATTCACGAATTGGGGATACCGTCGTTTTGCATGGCGGCTAGCGCCGTCCTGATTTCCAACACGTAACGCTCGCGGCAAATCTTCCGCTTCCTGTTTTTGCCTAGGTAAAAGCCGACGAAGGGTGTACTTTTATCGATTTTATTGATTTTTTCAAAGTTTGAGCTAGGGGCGGAAGTTGTTGAGGGAGGTAGGTGAGCATGCTAACTTCTAACACAGCGGGAATAGGGAATTGCATGTAGAAGTGTGCACAGGAAAAGATTGTACAGGGATAGGAAAGGGACCTTTGTCGTTTTTGAAAAAGCCGGGCGGAGCCGGGTAAGCCAGCTAGTGTATTATATTGAGAATGATATAAAAGTATAGCATTGCCTTTATGCAAGTTTTGGTCCGATTAAAGTGAACTTCGGGTAACTACCTGAACGAAATGAAGTTAACAAAAAATTAATCCCACACCCTCTCGAAAAGTGACTGTTTTTGGCTGTCCGTCTTCATAAGCTTCGAATGATTGCTCAACTGAACTATAGTAAATTTTGTGGTAAAGCAGATTAATTAGCGAAATATTAGAGCAACTTACATTAATCTGCTCTACTATATACAGTGACCGCCAAAAAGTTGCGGACAAGCCTCCTTCCTTTCTTCATCGCTCATTTTCGGATGAAAAACAAAGATAATGGTTGGATTGCATGGAGTGATAGCGCTCTTCAAGAGCTACAAACACACGCGTTGCGCTTTCTGAAAAACATGTATCCTGAAAATTTTAAAAATCTTTCCCTACAAAAAGTCCAAAAATGGCCGCGTACAATGTCGCGGACAAGAATTCTTCGAACGCGAGACATTTCTTTTAGGTCTTTTCTTGAAGAACGGAATTTTCCGGACAAGTAAGCATACTCTATTATAGAGCTCATTGAGGGCAATAATCAGGTAGTAGTTACTTCCAAAAAATGCAAGTTTGGTTTTTGTGTTTTGCTTTTTTTGAAAAATAACTTCTATTTTTCTCTTTCAAAGCAAATTTCTTCGCATGGAAACCTATTCAAGGCATTCAAACAAAACTGCTCGGATAAAGTAGATGCTCTTTACCTTCCTCCATGCATCGGACGTGTGTTGGTGAGTTTTTTGGTTGAAAATGACTATTGACAATGCGTGCACATAACCCCTCCTGCGCCTCACCACTGACTTGTACCGCTTTGCAGGCTTGTAGCTCAGTCGTCAGGCAACCTACAAGCCTGTGCATAGGCTCATTCGAAAGGGCGTGACTTCCTCGATACGGTGGTATGCAAATGAGTTCAGTTTGAGCAATCCCAGAGATTTGACGGATGGGGTGGTAGAGGACAGCTTCAGTTGTAACCTAAGCATTTTTCAGCCAAAGTTGAAGAAAGATCCTTTCGCTACCAATTTTATCCTGGAAGTTCAAAACTGTCAATTATCTTGTAATAGATCCATTTCGGAGCTCTAAGACTGTTCTGGTATTCATAAGAGCCTACTCCAATCACCACTAAGGCTGCACTTTTTCACCCCATCCGTCAAATCTCTGGGATTGCTCAAACTAAAATTATTTGCACATTATCGTATCGAGGAAGTCACGCCCTTTTGAATGAGCCTACACATAGGCTCGTAGGTTGCCTGACGACTGAGCTACAAGCCTGCAAAACGGTACAAGTCAGTGGTGAGGCGCAGGAGGGGTTATGTGCACGCATTGTCAAGAGTCAGTTTCAGCCAAAAGAACTCACCAACACACGTCCGATGCATGGAGGAAGGTAAAGAACATCTACTTTATCCGAACAGTTTTGTTTGAATGCCTTGAATAGGTTTCCATGCGAAGAAATTTGCTTTGAAAGAGAAAAATAGAAGTTATTTTTCAAAAAAAGCAAAACACAAAATCCAAACTTGCATTTTTTTGGAAGTAACTACTTCCTGATTATTGCCCTCAATGAGCTCTATAATAGAGTATGCTTACTTGTCCGGAAAATTCCGTTTTTGCTTCAAGGAAAGACCTAAAAGAAATGTTTCGCGTTCGAAGAATTCTTGTCCGCGACATTGTGACGCGGCCATTTTCGGAATGAGCGATGAAGAAAGGAAGGAGGCCTGTCCGCAACTTTTTGGCGGTCACTGTAGGTAATACTATTTGTGCTCTCTTAATGTAAATTAGTGCTGTAGATTTCTCTGTTTTCAAAACTTCAGTGCAACTTTTCCAAAAAGACGTTTGATAAAATTATATATATAGGCTGCGAGAACAGAATTATCATAAGAATCTGAACACTACGAAATTATCACCAAATACAAGTCTGGCCCAAAAGAAATTGAAATTCCATGCAGTTATGGACCTACTCGGACTCTGGTCCGTAGTAAACAGTAGTGGCCCCCCATTTGTCTCAGTTGCTTTAAGACGAGTCATTAAGAAAAACTTCCTAAGGTGAACCTAATTGCGCCTATCTTCCCATGCCTTAGAATAGTTAAATCAACGGGCAGAAGACTGTCCGGCTAAGTGTCAAGTCAGTTTAACAGAATGCCACTTATCGGAGGTTGAGGGTGACCCGAGAGAGATAGTGTGTATAAGAAGAGAGACAAATTTCCCGTAAGTTGCTCGTGAGTAACTTACGAGACAATTTAACTGACGTTTGTTGCAGTTCAAGAACACACAAAATTGCACAATACCCAGAGAAAAGAGGATCAGCGCACAGCTGATCTCGGCGAAAAAAAACGAGAAATAGGTTTCTTCCTTTCAGCAGTGTTTTTGATGTTTTCCAAAAAGCTGAGAGAAGCTCTTAATTATCTCAACCAATTCATGTTTCAACTTCTTCAATTTTGAATGAAATTCTCACTGGATACCGGACTGAGGCGCCTTACATTCAACGTAGCCCAGCCCCAAGCCGAGCGCTGAGAGGTTTATTGCGGGCCTCTGTCTGCAAACTTTGAAAAATATCCCCTCATCTAAACAAATCAATGCACTATAAGCTTTTGATTTGGAAAGTTCTACAGACCCTTCGGCAACCAATGGCACAAAAGTTGCTTTTTTTGCTGGCGTTTATCTTACAAGGGAACGACACTTGGTATCTGTAGCCTTTTGAGACGAAACGTATACCATTACGCTCGTCTTGGAACGCTGATTCTGAATCTGACTTTCGTTTCTGCTAATCGTTTCTCTAGAAGAAATTATGAAGGATTTCCTCATTAATGAACGCCCAAAAGAAATACGGTCGAGAATGCCTAACTTTCAAAAAGAAGCTTGATTGAGACAATGCAAAACTGAAAAAGACTCGAACCCAAACCACCATTAACTTGTGAGACTATCGGACTAGCCATTACATCACATTATAGCTGCGATTTTGGCATTCCGACCATGTCTCCTTTGGCGCAAAGACCCTTTATATCTATTTTCAGAGAAATGATTAGCAAAAATGGAATTCAGATGCGGAATCAGCTCTCCAAGACGAGTGTAACGCCATACATTTCTTCTCAAAAAGCCAGGGACACCGAGTATCGTTCCCTTGTTAGATTGGAAAAACATAATGATTGAATTCCAGGGCATGCTATTGGAACTAGAATCAAACGTGTTGAGCTGTTTGTAAATCTAGTGAGGTTCCAGGGCTATTCAAATTGGAGACCCCATTTATGAAATAGCCACTGACAATAATGGCGCAAAAGGGGTTACCGACAATAATGGTCTAACGGCTGAATGTGATCCCTTAATCTCTGATGAAGAGTCAACGACTTCGACCGTTACATCCACAGCAGCATTTTCCCATGCAAGTTCTCCTGGTAAGTCTAACAATCGGAGGCTTATCCAATTTTGAGCAAACTACAGCCGTCTTGAGTAGATTATTAGTCATTGCTAGTAATGAGATCTGACAAAGTCTTGAATCTCTTCTAAATTGCGAGGGTCTCCTTTAAGGGTCGCAAAATATGTTAACCTTGCTGCGAACCCGCATTTGACGGTTAACATTCCTTTTACAGAATCACAATCTACTTCAAGTTTGCAATCCATTAGTCAACAATCCACTACAAGTTGGCCATTTACTACTGCATCTACAAAAAGTATAAAATCAACAAGACAATGCGTCACAAGGCCACGTTGTGCCCCTGCAAAGTCAAGGAAAGCGAGAGCTGCAAATTTTAGAGAAGTGCCGTATCACGTTTGAAAGTTTGTTATTTTTGCTGATTTTACATGAGTAAAACTGGAGTAAAATCGTGAATTAGAGCTTATCCATCATCTTTGTCTTACACATATTCCTTTTAGTAGTTGTTCTATTCCTAAATTGCAAAAAGACACCACCAGGCAAGGTATCAGTTCACTGGAAAGAGTCACAGAGCATTATAATAGCTGTTATGTACATCGACAGCCTAAAAAATCACATTCTGTGGTCATTTGAGTAGTCATAAAGTTAAAAGATTTGCGAGAGAGTTGCAACATCGCCCACTTTTGCGAGAACTTGACCCAAAATTTCGCAGCCTTAATGGCATTAAGCCTCTAGGAATTCTTCTTCGAATCCTGCTTCCGCCTTTTCACTTCCCTCTTTTTTTAAGTCTTCGTATTCTCCTAAGTTTGCGCACAAGAAATCGAGACAGAGAAAAACACACACACAAAGCACGCACCCACACAAATAGAAGAGCTCAGAACCCAGTAAAGCAATATAAGAAGCATTTTCTGCGTCTTTCTAGAAGCCTGATAATGGCAAAATGGCGACCTTGACTACACTGCATCGTAAGAGAAACACTCTAAAAATTTTTTTTCAAAACTCTATGTTTTTCGAGTTGATTGTAGAGAATGTGTCAAGATTGTTAAATTCTTTATTCGGGCTTACGTTTCGGCGTCATCGCCCTCTTCACAGCCTGGAAAGGTTAGAATCAAAGGAGAATGAGGGTTTAGCAGCTAAGTCTTTTCTCGAAAATTTCTTAGTTATAGCCCGCGAAGAAGCCCCAAGAGGTCGCAAAAATATGTCCACAGTTGCCACTGATGCGTGTTCAATGACCGCGATCAAAATTTGGATCAGATGGAGGCTATGCTCTACAAATCTGGGACGTCTCTACCTCTCTTCCTCTCCCCTGCATCCATCGCTCCGTTACGGGTGCATGGATAATTCACAGTTGATATATGAATACTAACAGTGTATGAGCCACCATGCAAAGAGTGTCATATGAGGAAAAGCTCGAAAAACATTTTTCCTTCTATCTCTACATCTGCTGGTGTATCTTATCGAAGCGTGCTTTCCCTTAAGATTTTTCACACCGGTTTAGGGTATGCAAGAACAACCAAATTCAGATGTACATTTCTCATTTGCGAAATGGAAGCTGTATGGCGCTGTGCCAACAAACGCTGCAATAGCGAGAATTGTCCGAAGTTCGTTTGTCTGCATGGTGGCTATAATGGTATATTCACATGTGTCAATCCTCTAAGATTTGTTAACAATAATCCTATGTGGTTGCTGAGCACCTTTGGCAATTTGCCTATATAACCATGACAAAAGCATTCGAAAACATTTTTTCTAGTTTTTCTTTAAAGTCGAAGAGCACTTTTTTATTTTACAAGGTAATCCTCCCAAACTCTCAAGCCTCCCCCTAACAGTAGTTGAGTACATAGCGAGCAGTTTACGTTTCCCATCTCACCATTAGCTCCGTCAGCTGCCGTTGCGCCATCCGAAACACCTACACTAGCGAAAACGCGCCATCTCTGTTGTCAAAGTGCATGCTGCTCAAAACAAAAAGTAATTACGACCATACCCTCTATACCTAACGCCATATGTACTCTGGTAACTTTCACTTTCAGCATCATAAGAGTACATGACCTTCACCTGGAGGAAAAATGAAGTCATCCGAATTTTTGCCTCAGATGTTTAGATCATAATCAAATCAAAATAGATGTGAATGAAGCTACTGTATGGAATAGTATTCTTATAACACACCGAAACCGAAAAATTGCGTTTTTGTAGCCTTTTTGCATTGAAGAGGAGGTTTTTGCAAAAAATTTGCATTAAAATTCAAGATCAAATTTCTTTTATAACCTTTAGACTACGATTAAGTTTCAAAAGTTCACGAAAGCTGTTCAACTCAATAAAAGCGAGAAACTGCGCTTGAATTTTGCGCAGAGCGACGCACACAAAAATGCTGTTTATCTCGTTGATGAATAATCGCCAGCGCTTGCGACATTGTCAGTATTTCTGATTCTGTCATGACGATCAGAATGATATGTAATGTTGGGGTTTCGTTAAGACCGCAGAGATCTACGACCAGAGCCAGATGCCTCGTCGGCTCTTGTCTTTCAAGCCTGGTCGTCTGCGTTTCCGCGTGTTGCGCGCTTCTTCGCTTTCCCGAACGCGAAACAGGTATTTGGCTCTGGTACCCTTTCTTTGTTGTTTGATCTAGCAATTTTGTTTGATCTACTTGGCTCTGGTACCCTTTCTTTGTTGTTTGATCTAGCAAACTACCTGTTATTTTGAAGCCCTTGAATTCTACTGTCACGCTGACAAGTCGCGAAATTTCTTTTTTGATTCAAATGAGATTACTTTAGATTACGTCCAGATTACTTCCAGATTACTTCAGATTACTTTTATCTACTTCCGGTGCAGACTATTCTCGGAAAGCGGTGCTCTTCCGACCTCTGAGGAAGACGAAGGCGTCGAAACGTAGAGCCGTGAGCGGAAGAAGAACAAAGATCGCTTAACAAACCTGTTTGGCGCAGAAGTAATCAGAAATATGTTTTTTGCGTTTTTCCGATTACAATTCCAGGATGAAGACGCCAAAGATGGACGATGTGTGCGATTACACGTTATTATAAAATAATTCACTGTATCCTAGCCAAGCTATCGATACCGATGCTGGGTAACAAAATCGGTCCGGTGGGTAAACGCTTTGCTTTCAAAATTGCAAGTCTTGAGCATGATTATCGTGTTGTGCACGAACTGGCAGGCTGCAAACTTGTTGACTGTTAATGGAGAGAAACCCACTGCCAGACTCAGAAATAGCAGAAAGCACTTGGATATACTTATCGTTCTCGAGCGGCTCCACTAGCTTAAATATTGAAGAATACTAGCGCGATGGACCCTCAACGAATTCACCACCTCCGGTCGAAGTAGCCGTGTCTCCGCCCGCCAACCTCTCGCCCTCGATAGCACAGGAAGAATTTCTCAAACTTGATAAATACGTGAATGATCTAAGACTAACTGGTTGTGTTCTAGCTACCCTGTGGAACAGCCAGTTTACTCCGAATTAAGTACACGGAAGTGAGATGTTGCTGTGATAGTGAGATGCGCGGGAAATGTGGCATTAAGAACTGCAGAAAATTGGCGAAACGACATAGGGGACGTATACGTAGTCAATTAGAGCCTCGTTGATGCGGCCCACAAAAAGAGGGGTCGCTAAGTTGACCTTTCTAAGATAAATCTAACAAGTGCTTGTAAGTCTCACACTGCTCCCATCACCTGCCAAGAGTTATAGCGGCTCAAATGGGCTGTCCTACTCGACCCATCGTACTTCGCTGTGGCCGTATCTAGGAGCGAAAACAGCGGAGGCTTGAAGGTGGCAGTAGGAGGCGTGACCCACCAGACCGATAAAGGTAACAGGTTAGCAAACCCAGCGTTCTTCTTGAATATCGACCCTATCCAGGGGGTTGCCGAATCCACTTATGCCTTCCCACTGGATTTGTTGATGATTATGGTCACTGATCTGGCTGATTGCCATCTTTCCTTCGTATCATCGCATCCTCAGGAATCATCTAAGAAAATGAAATTTCCAAAAACACCATAAAGTCAAAAAACTTGAAGACTTCTTTCATGCTCTGCCGCCGGCTTTGTCGAAGAAGGGGATCACCTGCCAGAGCGATGGCAAAGGGTCATGGATACAATCATGAGTACATTGCTATTGATTATTAACCAGTGAATTTCAGAACCCACTAAGTAGGCTACACCCTCGAAATTGTATTCACAAAACTAATGGGTTCCGGAACTCACAAAAAGCCACTTGAATCACGTGGTCCCTAACGAACCATTTGGCTCACGAACCCAAATGTCAAGCATATCGGCCTTGCTTGGCGTTTTGCCATAGTCCATGAATCGTGTTACAAGAATCTTTGAGCGAAAAAAGTACATATGGTGCGATATCGCTGATCTCATAGTACAGAATTGTTTGAGTCTGATTCGTCTTCTTTATTCTATGTGACAGTAGGTGAAAGTACTGCAATGATTAAAAGCGAAAAATAGGGCAAATGAGATCCTAAATCTAACAATGGCTCTTAAATCTATAGTTTGGCTATAATTTAAGATGGGATTCCTTATGTGGGACAGGAAGGACCAATGCTTTGTGAAGAGCGCTGTAAATTGTAGCTAAATCACTTTTAGAACAAAGTCAATCATGATCACAAACGACCATTTCACTGGGTGGCACAATGATTGAAAATCGCAGGATTCTCAAAACTTGGTCTACAAAGGTTATCTGACATGCTAATTAACGGAAATGTTACTCATTATGGTTGGTAAAGCCTATATGTTATGATTGCGGTAGGTGAATGAATGCAGGATATAAGCTTACCGCGAGATTGAGGGAATAGAAGTTGGGAATAGGTTTCACAGATCAACCTCGCTGAATAATTCTCTGTGCTAAATTCAACAGATAGTAGAGCAAATTCAGTCCTCCAATTTAATTTAGATATTCAGTAACAATTTGATAATGCTTAAATCCTAAGATGATCCAGCAAATGCTTGAAATTCTTATTATTAGATCACATTAGAATCTACGATATCACGATTGGCGTTGCTTGCGTACAGTATTTTAGAAATTTTTCCTTTTGTTCAAAGATGCTTTCCAGATAACTTTGCTGCTGCGAGCACCCACTGGTAGGCAACATTCAGCATTGGCTCTAATATCACTAACAAGGAATAGTCAGAAGTTGAAGTGGCCAATCCAAACAAGCTGCATACTTCTCTTAATTCAGCGTAGAACGCTGATTGTAAATCTGTCTTCCAAATTCGCAGAATGCCTTTGTAGGCGAAGATATGGCTTTACTGCGAATAAATTGTACATAAAAATTGCAAAATTAGGCAGCACATTATTGTCTTTTTAGCTCACCTTTGGGTAAGGGCCATGTGAAGTAAGCTGGCTACATGTCTTGGTCCAGCACTAAGCCAAGAATGGCTCTGTATGGCCAAGTTTGTCCTTTATACCGCAGGTTTCTTA